AGAGCAAAAATTAATTGCTGGTCGTCGGATATCATATGTTCACCTTGACAAAATTTGTGACAGGCAAGGATTATCACGAGCTGCATGACAACTCACAAACAGAAAAACGAAAGAAGAGGAAACGCAGTTCATGTCACACTGATCAGGATCAGTTACTGCCTGATGTGCCAGTCTACTCTAATGCATCAGCGGCTGAGAGTGAAAGCAGTGGAACACATGATCATCAAGTGACACATCTTACACTGAAAGCTACAAATGGCAGGAAACCTGAATTATCAAAGGCATGGCAAGTGCTAGACATGTCAGACGAGTAAGGCAAAGCTTAGAGTCCCTTGTCTTTCATCTGATAGAAGTCTTATGAGTTAAGAGACTTCAGGACATTTCACATAGAGGTTTTTTTCCTCTGTTTGCTGTCAAAGCAGCACTGCAGAGTCACTAATGAGCACTCTGGTTTATGTTGTGTGAAAAGAATCCTGGAAACAGACGGTGATCAGGTTCTTCTTTAGGACTAACACTTTCATGTCTACCAATGTTATGCTCAGCAGGACAGAACAAGAGGGAGTACCGGGGAGAGGAGCACAGTACAGTTTGATTGGTTGGCTGTAGCACACAAGCTCTAATCTGTGGTCTACTTGCAAGCCCACTGTGTGACAAAAAGGAAGAAACATAATGTTTCATTTATTTTGTGTGTTCTACATGTGAGAAAGTATATTCGTGTGAAAATGAATGTGTTGCCTTTGATGACATATTTGGACAAACAAACTCTTTGAAAAAGTAAATGGTCTGATTCCTATATAGTGCTTAAAGCTCTCTATGCAACATGCCACATTCACACTCTCTATACTTGGTCCTTTCTAACTACATTCACACCCTGATGGATGTATCAGAGAGAAACTTGGGGTTAGTATCTTGCCCAAGGATACTTGACATGCAGACTGGAGGAGCCAGGGATCGAACCACCAACCTTCTGATCAGTAGGTGACCTGCTCTAGCTCCTGAGCTGCAGCCACCCCATAAAAGGTAGCTACAGACAAAACGTGATCTGTGCTAATGTAGACTGGGTAATGTGTTAGGAATGAAACAAACATTTTTTAATTGGATTTAAAATGATCAATCCACAGAGGACTGAATTCAAAGAAAATCAGAAAATGATGTAGCAGGATAGTCCATTTTACCAAACTTCCATTGTAGCAACTCAAAATGCTACTCAGTAGTGTGTTTGTGTGCATGCCTGACACCTGACAGCGGCGTTCTACTGTATTAGGTCAGGTGTGGGTGGCCTATGTTCAGTGGTATCAGTTCATTCATCCTCCAGGAAATCGGAAATCTTGCATGCTCTCGTCACATGAGGATTACACCAGCACAGGGTCTGACAATGGGACCAAGGATTTCACCAAGATAGCTAACGGCAGTCAGGGTGCTGGTGTCTAGCCCATAGAGGGCTCTGGCAGTGCTTATCCTCTTACTCTTTGCAAGAAGAATCAAATTCTTGTCGTCCTGATGGGTTATAGGCCTCTCCAGCTGTCCCAGAGTAACTG